AAGATCGACTAGTGCAACGAATATCACCAGATATGGATGAGATCAGGAGACGAGTGGAAGATAGCCTTCAAGACACGAGACGAACTTTATGAGTGGATTGCTATGTTTTTCGACCTGTCGAACGCACTCAACACTTTCATTAGATTAATATCATATTGGAAAGTTTGTCGTTGTATACTTTAAAAATATTCTAGTATACAGCCGAGGAGAATCGCTTGCATCACTTGAAGGCACTATTCAAGGTACTGCAAGTCAAGCAATTATACGCCCATCTGAAGAAATATCACCTCATGACAAGCCAGGTATATTTTCTGAGTCTCATAAAGATAGATGTCATTATCAGCTAAGTCGCACCACAATCATTCACCGAGCTAAGCTAATTTTTGGAGTTAGCATTATTCTATAGAAGATTCATCAGGAACTTCAGCACTATCACCTCCCCTTTGACCGAACTTCTGAAAAGGAAGGAGTTTTCTTGGACAGCAACAGCCCAGGACAGTTTTGACGCATTGAAGAAAAATATGACCAAAGGCGCCCATGCTAGCATTATCAGAGTTCAACCAACTGCTCGAGGTACAATGTGATGCCTCCGGTGTAGGGATCAGAGCAGCTAAGCTAGGGAGGACAGTTCAGAGCTTTCTTCAGTAAAAAATTAAATGAGTTCAAATGGAAATACTCGAGAAACGCCAAAGAATTCTACGTCATCATAAGAGCTTTGGATCACTAGAGTCGTTATCTATTGACAAATATGTTCACACTATTTACAGAACATGATGCTTAAAATTTCTCCAAGATGCCCCACTTTGTACGATGAAATCCGACACTAGAAGCCACTCACATCATCGATCTATACTTTAGAGAGATTGTAAGTTGCACGGAATTCCCAAAAAAAATCACCTCCGACAACACGTCAAATTCCCGAGCCACTTCCGAAAGACACTATGGGGAAAGCTTGGCACCACACTCCAATTTAGCTCAGCAGATCATCCACAGACGGACGGACAAACAGAGGCAATAAATCGGAGCCTCGGTAATCTCTTGAAGTGTTTTGTGGGAAAAAAACATAAAATAGTGGGACCTTATTCTAGCCTAAGCTGAGTTCTCCTATAACAAATCCATCTGCCAAACTACTTAACAAATTCCCTTCGAGATTGTGTACACACCCAATCCTCTCACACCACTTGAATTGGTGCTGCTCCTGCCATATTCTGAAATCAATAAGGATGCCACATAATGAGTTCACGAGATTCAGAAGCTCCATGAAGAAAATGGCAAGGAAACTGTTAATAAAAATAGCAAATATGACGCACAGGCAAATAAATTCAGGAAGAAAGTGTCATTTCAGAAAGACGATCTTGTATGGATTCAGTTGAAAAATGAAAGATTTCCCGTCACATCTTTTGAGAAGCTTAATCTGAGAGCACATGGGTCTTTCAGGGTACTTCAGAAGTTGAAGACGATGCTTATAAGATCAATATGCCAGGAGACAACAACATTTCAGCCACATTTAACGTTGCTGAATTGACACTGTACTTTGAAGAGCCTCAAGCTTCAACAAAAGAGGTCGAAGCTTCCCCAAGGTCGAGAGACTGACGCAAGCGTTGTTTAGCACCCTGGCGCAAGTGCTAAAGAATGTGGGGACCGAACCCAGCAAAGGATCGCGAAGTTAGGAATTGAAGGCGGGATAGTGAATTTGCCCTGGCGCAGGTGTTGAGGGAACGCGGGGACCAAACCCCGCAAAGGATCACACAGACAGGAAGGCGGGACGGGATCACGGATTCTCGTGATCGCGGGAAGACCAGAATCAACGCGGGATCACGGATTCTCGTGATCGCGGGAAGACCATGAAGGCAGACCCAGAATCAATGAGAAATGTGGCCTTTCTTTGGTGCCCGTCTTCATATAGAAAGTTTTAATAGCTATTCTCCTGGATTCTTCTTGTCTCCCTACCTCTTCCTTTTGTGTGAGAATTTTTATTTTTATTTCTTTCCTATTTTTCTCTGGTAGGAGTATAAATTGTTTTTTTTTCTATGAGTATAAATTATTTTTTTTTCTATGTGTAAGAGACAGTTCTGATTGTGTCGTCTTCAGATCTCCTGTGTGGAGTTTTTTTCCTCTTACTAGGATTATATCCGACGACAGGTGGTGCTCTGGTTGTATCCTGCTCTGAGGTGATGTTGTATCCTTCCAAACTTCTCCTATTCTTTCCCACAACCCTTCTCCTACTTCTCAACCTAGTCACCGACCACTCCCATATCTCTCCACTACCTGTCGCCACCTCTACTTCCTCCACAACCATGTTTCCCAGCTTACCTGCAACCAACCAAATATCATCCCAACCTACCCAAACAGCCACCCAACCTTCCCCACCTCTCCCTACCATCCCGCCGACGACACCACCACCTTCAGATCTCTTCCTATAGCCCTAATCGAAGATTATATACTATTGTATTTCCTTTTTGTTTGAGTCAAGTCGCAACCCTATTTCTATATTAATAAGTGTTTGCTTTTGTGTTCCACTATATCCTAACTAGTTCCAGTATCAATACTCTTATTGTCCTGTGGACCAAAACCCTTCCCCTTTGCTTTCCCTCATTGTCCCTCCTTTGAACGCAATTCCAGTCCCCCCTTTTATTGTCCAACCACAGAAAACCTGATCAGCCACCTTACTTTGCTCTCCGATCACCTAGCCGACCTCAACCACCAGTGAATCGAGCCCTAATGTGAGTTTGTGTCATGTCTGCTGTAATTTCTCTTTCGAGCATGTTTGATTGTAACAACCTATTTGATTTCAGTAATAATATTTGCTTTTGCTATTATGGTTTAGGTAAACTCCCACATCAATATATTTAGGGATTGTGTGCATAAAAATTGTTTAAAATGATAAACTATGATGAAATGTAGCAATTTTTTACAAGATGCTTTAAAAAAAAGAAGAAAGTTCAAAACAAAAGAAGGTAATATAGAGGTATCAACCATGTTGAATACCAAACCAGGTTGTTAATGAATAATGATTTATCACATCTATAAATATGTTGTGTGAAAATTTGATAGTTTCTAGTAGAGTAAAATCATCAAAATGTGAAGTGCATGATTAATAGTTATATCATATTACACTTTGCTAAACAATTTTTATTATAGAAAGAATGGCAAATCTTCCCATTAAAATAAAAGAGGATACAAAATTATTTACAAGAGGAAGAAGAGAAACACTAGAAACAATTTGACAATGTACATTTAGGTAAAGCTTGAAAAAAATGCTCAAAATAACTAACACGAAAGTATCTCTTCTAGAATTTTATTGATTCTAAAGAACATCTTCACTTCTATATTGTTGATCCAACAATAGACAAATTGATAATGTTTGTCATAGGATATCTCCTCTTTCTTTATTTTTGGAAAACATCTAGCATTCCTTTCAACGATAAAAATAAAAGAAAAATTAAGGATATCTCAAAGCTCCCTGAAATCAATCATAAATAAATGTATTTCCCAATATATATAAAGAAAAAAGATTCCAAATTGTCAATTAGAGTAGGTTAGAGATAGTGCTAAATCCAAAAAAAGATATAAAAATCATCTTCCAAATGATCTCCAAACTTATCTTAGATAATAGTCTTTATAATCCCTTTGTTAAGAAACAAGATCTTGTGAGAAATTTTCCCATACAAAAAAAAAGAAGATAACAGTAATTTTAAGAGGAGCAATAAAACTACAATTCTAAGGTTACTACGAGTATTGACACCGTTACTGCGAGTATGAACACCTCAATCTACTAGGTGTGCCTAGAAAAACAGAGTAAATATCATTAAGAGTAGTATGCCAATATGGAATGTTCTGGTCAAAATCAAGATTAAAATAATTGATAAGAGATTAAAGAAGTCTCATTTTATAATTAACACGTAAGATTTGTTGATAATAGATAAGAAGGGTTCCTTTCTATAATTAAGATGAAAGAAAAAGAATCCCTTTCCATAATACAAGCCAACCACAACTCGTATTATGATAGAAAAAATTAAATTACAAAAAATTTTGGCATAAGTGAAAAGAGTATTGAGTTGAGTAGAGGGAATAATCATTAATTCATTTGTTCTTCCAAAAATTAATATCTCTACCATCATGAACTTTTCAAAAAATGTTAAAAAGATAAAATATTAATAATTTTAGAAAGCATGCTAATAAAGTTAGTGCAATGAGAGATATTGCAAGACAAAAAACCTAGTCATGTTACTTAAATGCTTGTCTCAAATGATAAAACAGGTAAAAAAAATGGCTAATCATATTTCCAGATAAAATTGCTAGAGAGAGACCAATTCATTACGTGTAAATCATTACTACAAGAATCTAAAAGATTGTATACAACAATTTGCTAAAAAATTATATTTCCAGCCTTCTAATACAAGCATTTGAAACATTTCACTAGAGAAAAATAGCTTTCTGGGCCAGAAAATATTCCTCAAATTTAATGTTGGGTTCTTTTAATCCTTTCTATGTTTCATCTTTCAGTGGGATCATATCCCCACTCAATTACAACTAACTCATATGTCCTGTCATCAAGCTTGCTTCCACTTGGATGTGTTGCTAATAAAGCGAGCTCGCTTGATGGCTGCCATTGAATAAGTATTCTCAATCGTTGCTAGCAGTTGAAGGTGCTGTCAATGATGCAATATCATTAAATGATATCAACATTGTAGCTGTTGTCTGTAAATGATAAGGATATAAGTGTCATTAACTATTGTAAATCTCTAGCGGCTTAATTCTGTGCGTGCTCGAAATCCTATAAAGTTAAGACCCACATAAATCTCACCAACCCTCTAATGTCATAGGAATTTCTTAACAACTGATAAATTACACATCCCAATAGTCCAATTACAAGAACTCAAACCCTAGTAAATTGAAAAAAATAAAATAAAATAAAAATTAGGATCCGACCATCGATGCTACTCAAGAATGTTCCGGAAGCCTAATTGGAATCAAAGAGCGCTGGAGGAAATATTTACCTGGACAGAGTTGACGGCCCCACGATGAGGGCTGACGATCTCCTTACGGTTCGAAAGCTGCAACGCAGCCACGCGGCGGGAACGAACTAAGCTGGTGAATAAGCTCGGGAGTATTTTGCCCGATTCTCTATCCCTGACCTCCCTCCACATCTCTTCTTGCGCATCTTCGCCGGCGAAGCCGCCGTCGCCGCCGCCGGTGAGGGTGTGAGTGAATGGACGGCGATGATTGGTTCTGCGTGTCAACTGATGCTCGTCGGGCGAGATGGATTCGATTTTGGCGGTGGGGCGGCAGAGTTTCCCTTAAAACGCATTGGTGGGCCCTGGCAAATATTATGATATACTTGTGGTGATATTTCTGTAGCGAACATCTTTTGAATTGAAACAATTAAATTAGATATATATAGATATATATATATATATATATAATATTATATTAATAAAAAAATATAATATTAATTAAAAAAATTAAATCATATTATATTATATTTAAATGATGTTTTTAATACAAATTAAAAATTTTAAACATCGCTCCTATGTTGACATCCTAAGACTGTATGACTGGGGTAGTTAAAACGGTTCTTCATTTGCAAACAGTTCGTGTTCAGTTAGCTGGGCAAACCAGCCAAACACAAATCATTTTTTTGTGTTTGAAATATAAACTAGTTGAACACGAATAGTGGTATTTTTTTAATGATTCAAACACGAGTTGAGCCCGGGCATACCACACAATATCATTGATCCACACAAAATCATTATATTGGTGGCTTCTTGGTCCATATAATTATTTTAAACAAAAAGGGAAATTTGCAGCATACCACACAGTTCTTATGTATTTATGTACCTAAACTAAGGTTTAATATCTACAGTTATAACTCGTAGAAATTGTTAATTATTGATATGACCGCTCAAATGAATTGATTTCAGATTGAAATAATCTTATGGCTAGTTATAATTGATTTCAAGCCATCTCAGTTCTCGAAATTGAATGAAGCTCGATCTTGTTCGAAATCAAAACGAGTTGGCTCAAATTGGAGGTTTTTGGATCCGTTCTAGCACAGAAATTGGCCCGATCCTTCTCAAAAAAGAAACAAGATAGCTCAAGAGTTATTTGGATATGTTCGAGCTCTAAATCAGCTCGAAAAAAGATTTAATTCAAAGTTTCGGCTCATAATTAGGCACGTTTATTTACATCCGATCTAATCCCAACCCCGATCCTTCTCAAAAAAGAAACAAGATAGCTCAAGAGAGTTATTTGGATATCTTCGAGCTCTAAATCAGCTTGAAAAAAAATTTAATTCAAAGTTTCAGCGCATAATTAGGCACGTTTATTTACATCCGACCTAATCCCAATATCCCAACTAAAATTTGAATCAATTTTCAAAGTTGTTAATGGTCTTCAAGCTGAATTCACAGCAATATACTATGGATGATAAAGCCCATTTACTTTAAAATAAAAAAAAGTAAATAATATTAATAATTTTAATTGAAATATTTGTGTGATATGTACTTAAATAGGAGAATTTAGGTGCTACATGTCTAAATATAAGAATTGTATGGTATTTAAGCAAATGTCCCTTTTTTTTATTAATTTTTTTTAGCATTATAAATAAAATATTTCACATCAAGCCTAAGAGCTCGTTTGGGTTTGGGTCAGCTTATTTGATTTAAGCAAATGTCCCTTTTTTTTATTAATTTTTTTGAGCATTATAAATAAAATATTTCAGCCTAAGAGCTCATTTGGGTTTGGGTCAGCTTATTTGGTGCGATGGTGTTTTGAAAACGCACCTGGTCTGTTGGGTAAACTGCATTTTGACGGCTTATGAGTTAAAAAAAAGCAAAAAACAGGATTTTCACACCGTACCTAAGTGCGTTGAGAGCTTATTGGCAACGGTCTGACTTTTATAAAAAAAATAAAAATTTGAAACAATCATCGCACCTAACTTATCAGCAGATTATTCAATAAGCTACAGCTACCCCAAACAGACCCTAAATTAAATAAACAATTAAATTATTTTCAATAATAAAATTACTTATACCTGAATTAAGTAGACATGCACAAACATCACAAGAAAATTTTAATTTATTCAAGCAAGTTATAAAACCAATTCCTTCATCATATTTTTTATTATATTGAAAATGTAATTATAAATTAAATTAATGTTATTAAAATTTAAAAATAATTTTAAATTAAAAATACCTTCCTAGCGTGTGTTTTCGCTCTTATTTTTTTTTAAATTAAGCTCTTATTAATTAAATAAAATAAACAATTAGGGAGCCTTCAATAGTTAATGAGTTATATGCACACATTTGGACAAATAATATCATATATTAATGTTTTCAAATGAATTACATGCACAAATTTTGACAAATTATATTTAAATGTTCAGAAATTATATAAAAATGACAAAATATACTCATAATTCATCCAATTTAAAAATAGGAAATTTTACATCTGTACCACACAATTCCTGTGTATTTACATATCCAACACCTTTAACTTCCATACTAAAATGTAGGTGGTCTAAATGTAAATACATAAGAATTGTGTGGTATGTATGTAAATGCTCCAATAAACCCAAATCACATCATCATTTAATGAATGAACCAATCAAAATACTTCGAAATTATTTTTATGTAATTTGGATTAACAAAGTTAAACATCAATGGAACAACAAAATACTACAAGACTCAATTTACACACAAAGATGATGTCATACATAATTATTGAAGATTAAAAAAGCCTGAACTGTAAGTAATCATTTCAGTCTACCTGGCTGGTCAATAGTGTCTCATCTGCTTCATTGTCTAGCTCTTGTTCTACTCCTTTAACCTGGGGCCAATATCACATGTAAAGTGAGGAAAAGAGTTGGGGAAATTTACATACATTCCACACAATTCTTATGCATTTACATATCTAAAACTTACATTTTTTATTATTACGCTTGTAACACAATGGTGTCATACACCTATGCATGAAAATGTGTATTTTAGTTTTAGTAATGTGATGTTAAATATTTGAGTGCTATGCTATGCATGTAAATATGAATGTTTAGGTGTTAGATCTGTAAATACATGAGAATTGTGTGGTTTGTATGTAAATGAGAATTGTGTGGTCTGTAAATGCATGTTTGAAGAAACAGTTAACAAGCAATTGCAGAAGAAATTACTGCTAAAAAAACAATGGCAATTATCAATGGCAAGTATTACAAATTTATCATAATATCAAAAAGAAGACCGCAGATTTCTGACAACCACCGCACTTTAACAGGTCAAGTTGAAAAAAATAGTTTCCTCTCACAAAAAATTTCTCGAAAAACAGTTTCCCAAACAGAACTGTGATGGCAGTGTGAAAAGCTAAGCAGTCAGAAAGTTGTCTCAAACAAACCCTTAGTGAAGTTCAAATATTTATTAAAAAAATAATCTATAATTTTTTAGCTATTTATTTGATAATTGCAGCATACTTATATAAGAATTTTTGGGAAACTGTACACAATTTTTAATGTGGATAAGATAAACTCTGATATAAGAACACAGAGTAACCATCAAATTAGTAATTAAAACATTATCAAACGAGCACTACATGTAGTTTTTAGTGAGTTACTTGTTCAAGCGCAATGTCAAAGCAAGTTCAAGTATGTCGAGTTTTTAAAATTTATTCAAACTATTAATCAATTACTTGGATAAACAAACATAAACAAGTTCTACACGAATGAGTTTCGAGGTGCTCGTCAAAAAAAACCATCGGGTTTAGGAGGTTTGACGCAATAATAGCACTATTCATGTAAAAAAAGAGGCATTTAAATACATGCCCATATCTTTCATATCACATCAAAAATATTACTATTTTAACTTTAAAAAAAAAAGAGATGCACCTTTTCATGGATAGGTACGGTGGTAGGTATGTAAAAATTAATGTTTAAATGTTAGATATGTAAATACATAAGAACTGAGTGGGGTGTACGTAAATCTTCCTTAAAAAATGTAGAAGCAGGTCAGAGATGTAAAGGTTGATGTCTGTAAAATACTTATGAAGCCTAATTTAGTTTACCTCTGGTACATAATGCATAAGCATATTCTCGATGCCAGATTTCAGAGTCACTGATGAGCTCGGACAGCCGCTACAAGCTCCTTGCATCCTTAGCTTTACAATACCAGTTTCCCTGGAAAAAAAAAAAGAAAACTAAATCAAATCAATCATCCAATTGAAAATACTCTAATCATCTGATTCACCACAAATAAATTTTCAAAATCCAGCACGAATCTCGATGCAATTTTTTTAGCAAAGCAATATTCCAACTTTGATAAAAAGTCATCCCGACGTCCGATTCCAGCTAGGGCTGTAAACGAGCCGAGCGTGAGCGAGCTCAGGATTGGCTCGTGTTTGGCTCCTTCTGAATAGCTCGGGTTTTG